CATCGAACCTGGCTGGAAAGTTGGGGTGGTGGGGCGAACTGGCGCCGACAAGTCCTCCTTGATCTCAGCGCTCTTCCGCCTATTCAACGAAGGTCTGGAGGGTGAGATTGAAATTGACGGTCGGGATACGAGCACGGTAGGCCTGAGTGAGCTACGCTGCAAGATTTCCATCATACCGCAGGAACCAGTGCTTTTCTGCGAAAGTCTGCGTTACAATCTGGACCCGTTCAGACAGTACGATGACGTGAAGCTGTGGGAGGTGCTGCGGCAAGTCGAGTTAAACAATACCGCATTGGATCAGGAAATCTTTTATGGCGGTCACAACTTTAGCGTCGGCCAGAGGCAGCTCATATGTTTGGCCAGGGCTATTCTAAGGAATAATCACTTGCTCGTTCTCGATGAGGCCACGGCTAATATTGATTCGCAGTGAGTCGTGGACGATTTTCAGCAATAAAAATATGTTATAACATTATTTGGTAAAAATCAGATGGTTTTGTTTGGTTGATCGTTAACGAAAGAATAAATTATCATATAGATACTTCACAATTTTTTTAAACAAAATATTAATTTTCCAAATAATTCAGTATCTTTTGGTATGGTGAAATGATGATTTATTTAGTAATAAATTAAGATTTTAAAAAAATAACAGACTTTTGCTAAACTGCATCAGATTTCCAGTAAGAGTTCTGTAGCTGTAAAATGCTATCGTAACTGATTTTTGAATCTATTTGCGAATTTTCTCTAAATGTGTTTTTCTAGCACCGATGCTTTAATTCAAGATACAATAAGGAGTACTTTTAAAGAATGCACCGTCATTACGATAGCACATCGTTTGAATACCATTATGGACAGCGATCGTATCATCGTAATGGAGAACGGTTCTATTGTGGTAGGTTTCTCTTCAATTAATAAAACGTATGTTAAAAAATATATGTTAGTGAAAATATGTATTTTAGTAAATTCAACCAAAAAGCGTTGTTTTCTTTGTAATTGCCTACAAACAAAATTTGTTTCTAATTATTCGTATCACAAAGTTAATAGCACAATACAATAGTTAATATTACAATAGTATAAATTGCTTGAAAAAAGAGAACGTTTACATATAAATAAAAATATAGAAGGATAACTA